TAATAATAAATACCTACAAAAATTCATTTGCATTGCAAAAAGTAATGTTATAATTGCTAATCCTCATTTGCATATTCATGTTTTATTCAGTAGCCACCAATACATTTTAATGCTGCCTGTTTTGATCCTATTCATACTACTGGCCATGCTTTTCTTCCACATAACACTAAAATGCCGTTTGCATCGCCAGAAGCACTTTAGCTCATTTACTGCATTACAGAGAATGTTTTAATCAGTCATTTCTGCTTTTGTACATTATTCAAATGAAATTAATTAAAATGTATTAGTACATTAAAAACAATGAGGAAAAGTGTCGATTAAAACATCAAATCATAATAAATGTAGAAAATGTCTGACTTTCATTCCAGAAATGAACCTCACATAATTTTAAGGAAGGAATATGTAGAACCTGACCTTTCTGTTTAATTGATGACACATGCAACTACGGCCCTATGTCCAGTTTTTCTAATATTCCAATATTTCAATAAATGAACACCAGTGAGTATCACTTTAATTGGAAGTTCTGCCATTTCTCAAAGAAATTCTACATAATTCATTTGTTAATGTATAAACAAAGTCATTCTCAGTGGTCTGATGTGGTTGAAATGGTTAATTCAGGGTTCTACAGTGAGGTTTTGCCAAGGAAGACTGTTTGAAATTAACAATAGCACACAGGAAGATATATGAGCACAAACTTCATTTGAACTTTTTTATTCCCTCTTTTTTCTGTACTTTTCCTGTCAATAAGGGTGTTTAATTCAGCAGATTTCTCCTATGTTGTCCTTAAAGCCCTTAAAGAGAACCTGAACAACATCATGTACAGTCATTCTGTATTTAGTATATTCTTTTCTTGCAGTTTCTATCATTTCATCTGTGTTCCTGCCTTTTATCTAATCAACACAAAGTATGTGGACACTTGACCATTAGACCTGAGACCTGAGCTTGATGAACATCTCATTCCAAATCCATGGACATTAATATGGAGTTGCCCCTCTTTGCGGCTGTAACAGCCTCCACTCTTCTGGGAAGATTTCCACGATTTTGGAGTGTGTTTGGGGGAATCTGTGCCCCTTCAGTCAAAAGAGCATTCGTGAGGTCAGGCACTGTTGTTGGACGAGAAGGTCTGGCTCACAATCAACATTCCAGTTCATCCCAAAGCTGTTCAGTAGGGTTGAGGTCAGGGTTCTGTGCAGACCACTGGAGTTCCTCCACACCAAACTCACCAAGCTATGGTGGTGTTTTAGGGCTACTGTTAATATAAATAAAAATAGTAGACTTTGAGAATAAAGGCATAATATTTAGAGAGAAAAAAGTCATAATGTTTCGAGGAAAAAAGTCGTACTACTTTGAGAAAAAAAGTCATAATATTTTGAGAAAAAAAGTCATGGAATTACGAAAAAGTGGCATTAATACCAGGAAAGGTCGCAATATTGTGGCCAAAGGCTTTGCAAAGGGAAGGCAGCACCTCCTTGTGTTGAAACGAGGGGCGGTAAGTTGGTGGAGTTATACTTTCATATCGATTTCCCCCATAAAGAAACACTCAGTCTTCCTGTCTCTCCTAACACATCAGCACCAGCCTGTTATTAGTATAAGAAACGGCTGAACGGCTGAGCAGGAAACTGTGTTTGTCTAGAATAAAGAGCCAGACGGACTCGGAGGAAACTGTCTGTCTGAGTGGTTGAAGGAGAATCTCAGGCAGGGTCGTCTACGCAGCCATCGGGGCTACATCTCCACACCATTCAAAGAGGGCATGAAGTTTCACAGACAGTGAGAATGATGATCAAAATGATTCACAAGGAGACAGGAGTGAGTGGAACTCCGGCACCAGTACAGCAACCGAGACCACAACGCATCATGGTAGCCCCCCTGCAGTTAGCCCACTTTATCCTCAAAATAATACGACTTTTTTCTCGAAATATTACGACTTTATTCTCGAAGTCTACTATTTTTATTAACAGTGACCCTAAAATGCCGTCGTACCAAGCCGTGTCAGTATGAACCTCGCTTTGTGCACAGGCACGCAGTCCTGCTAGAACAGGAAAGAATCTTCCCCAAACTGTTGTCACAAAGTTGAAAGCATATAATTGTCTAAAATGTCTTTAAAGCTGTAGCGTTAATATCACCCTTCACTGGAGCTAAGAGGCCCAAACACCGCTCCAGACCATTATCCCTCCTCCACCAAACTTTACTGCTGACACTGTGCATTCTGGTAGATAACCACCGGGTAGGTAACTGGGTTTGCATCCACCAACCAAACGTATCTGGATGCCCCTTAGAATTAGTGAATTCAGCTACTTGTTTAATGGCACATACAGCTTGTATAATCTCCATTAAAAAGCACTGACCAGTAGAATGGGATGGTCTGAAGCAGAAGCACATGATCTTAAGATCGCTACGCCCAATGCCATGCATCGGCTAGAAGGGTATAAAGCCCCCCAGGATTGGGCTGTGGAGCAGTGAAACTGCATTCTCTGGAGTGATGGAGCTCCATGCACTACCGTTGGGATGAGTTGGAGTGATCCAGAACCGATTATCCAACATCAGTACCTGACCTCACTAATGCTCTTGTGGCTGAGTGAGTGCACACTTTATTGATTATTATTACAACAAATTATGATCATACCAAATTGTTATAGATGCACAAATGAGTGGTTTCCCTTAAGGTGGCCTCTGAGTGGACTGCACATTGACTTTGAGTGTGTAAGGAAGGTTACAGTAGCGCACGTATGTGCATACCCCTCCTCCTCACCCACACAATTATTAAAAGGCTTTTTTAATGCATGCAAATACGTCTCTTCAAAGCTAATTTAAAACTGCCTTGAGACCACAGTCTCATTACCTCGAAGGATGTAGTAGATTTCTAATCAGATCAGAGGTAATTGTGTTGAATGGTAAAACAGCCTGACTCATATGGATCATACACTCGCATGGCTGAATGAGACTAACACTGAAAACTCTTTTCTCATTATAAGCACGTGGTCCGTCTCTGAGTAATTAACTTGCTTACTCAGAAGTATTACAGAAACTGCAACAGGTAAGTCAGTAGATTAAACAGAAGGCTTTGCTAAGGTCCATACAGATGTATTCCAATGAATCAAACCAGTTCTGAAAGGCCAGTTTTCTTTTTTTTTTCAAACTTTTTTCAAAGTTTCTGCATAATTCAGTTGTTCAGATGTAAACAAAGTCATTCAGGATGGTTTGAGGTGAAATGGGTCACTGTAGAGAAACTTACTGACTCAGATTTCTTTACAGTGGTGGTGATAGGAACCAGGGGTCACCATGACTACAATAAAAATATTGCCATTTTATTAACTATCCAAAATGACCAGTGACCAGGTTTTGTTTTTTTTTCCTTTGGGAAAACGTTGCCTTACAACACCTCTCCGCCATGAATGGGTTTTAAAAAACTACATTTTAGGCCAAAATCAGAAATCCAAATTTTAGTTTCTACAGCATATTAGGTGGTTGCTAAGCAGTCGCTAAGCTATCCAAGGTGGTTGCTATAGTGTTTCAGGTGGTTGCTATGGTTTCGCTATAAAATTCTAATAAACAATAATATTGGCTGATATAATTTTACATTTTAATTTCATACTGCAACAGCTTTGGACTCTGTTAGCTTCCTTGTTTTCTTTTTATCATTATTTCTTTTCATAAAAATGTTTGTGTTATGCCCTGTTGTTCTCATGCTAATGGTTATGTTTGGAAAAATTTGAATATTTTAGTTATTTAAACCATGATGGTGTTTTGTGTTCACTAATTCAGCCTGAATTGCTGGGATATAGTTAAACTGTGAAGCCACAGTTGTTTACAGTTTTGCCCTGTCTTCAAGTGACTGCAGTTTGAATCCCAAAAAGTTGCAAATTATTGGTGCGTTAACAGAAATGTTTTCGGAATACAGATAAAACCGTGGTTGAGATATATTAACCAACATTACTGGCCTACTGATACATCAGTCCAGACCTACTAAGTAACTCACCATCCACACATTCATCAACAAAAGACCATCCCGACTTCCTCTTGTCTGAATTACTTTGTGAAACACCTCCAGGAGTGGAATATCTCTTTCCTGTGACAGACCAGAGCACCAGTGACAGCCTCACAGCTGTAGTAAGCTGAAACTACTGGTCATCTGGTATAATCTTGCACAGATCTGAAGAACTTGTAGTGCTGAAGCTCCTTGGGTGAAAAGAGAAACATCTGTAAGATTAGTTCACTACTTTCACTTAACATTACTGAACACTTCAACGACTTGACAGACATCGTCTATGAGGCCATTTAGTCTTCTATGACTGAAAAAAGTAGGAGCTGGTTTAGTACCAGCTGCCTCTTAACTGAACCATTACAACAGTAATGTTAATTCTTAGCAGCAGGGCAACCCAACACTGCCTGTAGAACACAGACAGGACATCAGTAAAGCGCCAAACCAAAACAGTTTCATGATAAAGTACACAGCACCCTCTGCTGGTTGGTATCAACTCAAGATACATCATAAACTGCTTAGGCAGGTGAGGGCTGGGTATCAAAGTTCAGCTGTTTTATGGTACTGACTAAATTACGTCAACACTACAGGGTATCAAAAAATACGTATCAGTCCAAACCAGATTTCTCTACATAAGTAGTGAGTCTAATATGCATCCATGAGCCAATAAGCATGCTTGTTTAAAAATCTAGACTTCTGATTGGCTGTCTACATATATTCTATATACATGTTATTAACTTGATTAGTCATTACTTTGTTGCGGTCAGCAAATATATATATATATACCTACTTGCAGCACCTCACACACATTCCTGCCACGTCCTAATCTGATTTGTAATTTACAAGAAGCTACCAAAAAAGTATCACTCAAGAAGCATATATATACACTTCAAGAAGAAGTGTATACATACATATATATATATATATATATATATATACACACACACACACACACACACACACACACACACACACACACACACACACAAATTATATGAGAGTGTTTTTGTGGCCAGTTGTTGATAACATTTTTTATTTTAACACAAAACGTCTTAAAACAGGAAGCAATAAAACAAAAATTGTGTTAAAAGTGTGTTGCTATCTAATACATCACATTTTGGAGCATACTGATCAGAATTGTTATCAGTGGTGGTGATAGGAACCAGACATCTAAAGAGTTTAATGCTGCTAAAGCTACAACACAGTAAGTTACTACACAAAATGATTATGAACACACTGCCTGATGCCTGAGATATTGTTTTATGATCATTTAGAGAGAAGTGTTTGGCCGAAAATGTATTTTTTAAAACCCATTCCTGGTGGAGAGGCACATGCGGGGCTTTGTGAGGCAAAATAATCCCCAAATATTTTTTTTTTCTACTTTATCACTTTTTTACCATCATCAACATTACATATAAAAACTCAGAAGACAATATCAGTGTGATAATGGTTAACTTAAAAGTACAGTGAAGTTTTAAAATACAGGTTGGTCTTTTACCTGCAAGTTAAACAAAGATAAAACAGACAAAAAACTATTTGAACATTTTTAGCTTTCAAGTATTTATTTATTGATGTACTGATTTATGTATGTATGTATTTATGTATTGAAGGGCCCATATCATGGAAAACCACATTTACCTTGTCTTTTTTAAATAATAGTTTGATGTAGTATGTAAACACAGTTAAAGTTTCACCCCATTCACTTAGTCCATATAGTTCATATTTGGAAACTAAGCTGCACATTCTGAAATGACCGTTTTTGTGATGTCACCAAAGCCAACACATTTACTTCTATCTACCTATTCAGCCTACAGCAGTTTAGCCCCGCCCACTCACAGTGAAGTTCTAAGGAGTGTTTCAGCCCGGACTGCTTTTTGAGTGAGGCACAATAAAGGGCAGCATATCAGAACGAAGCTCATTTACATATAACAGTCTTAAAGGCACAGTAACAAAAACAGCCTGTTTAATACTAAGAGATAAATGGAGGTTGGAAAATGGTCATGAAAAATACGTTACAAATGTTTTTGGTAGATATTATTGCACAAACTTTGTAAGTGAACCAGGAGGGGAAGTTTTAAATGCAACAAAGATGTAGGATACGGGCTCTGTAATATTAGCCATTTTCTGCACTCTTTCAGACTTTTCTCCCTTGATTTAGTTCTTCTAAAAATATACATAACTATAGACAAAATAAAACTTCATAGTATGTCCTTATTACAGCATGCGCAAATTAAAAAAAAAAAAACATCCTTGTATTTTATTTTCACATTTTTAATATCTTTCAGAATTAAGAAAGAAACTGAGATGAATATAAAAAACATGATTTTCCCAAAAGCGATTCTGTGCTATTAAAAATAAAAAAATAAGGTGACTAAAAGGTACAATCAGAGAATCCACTGATTTGACATGAATAAAAATGCTGTACAAACATGATTTACTAAAAACTAAAATGAACCCATTACATTCTGCATGGCAGTTTGGTGCTAAATGACACATCTGGTCATAATAAGGAATGAAAGAGGTCATTACTTATCTTTGCCATCTACTGGCGCTCATCACATATGGCTCATCACAGCCAAAACATGGTCAGCACAAGGACATGATCGACGTAAAACACCTCATCTACCAGGAAACCAGGAAGATAATGGTGAGGAGGCAGTCCTACAGCTGCATGTTCAGTCATCCTTCAAGGACGTGCTACTGCAGCCCCAGGATGACAACCTTGAGCCCCCAGCAACACCAGACTGGTCCTCATCACTCCATCTCCACTCCATTGTCTCTTTTGTTGGGATTCTCAGAGAAAATGAAGGACTTTTTGCTCTCTCAGTCGACTGCTGCCAGCTCACAGGTGGCTCGGAAAAGCGCCGGGCACCAAATCCCAGAAAACCCTGCCCCCCCCCCGTGTTCGCCCACCCGAGCTGTCCAACAGAACACTTTGGCCATTTAAATGGTTGGAATTACCACAGTGGCAGTGCCATCCACGTCCTTCATCACCACCGGAACCAGCTAACAAGGAGCACCCAGCTGTCAATTCATGTTCACCCCAGATCAACGGAGAAGAGGGAACCCCTCCCCTGCAGTCAGAGAGAGGGAACAGTCCTGATGTTCTGAAAACTGTGATACATTTCACCATAATATCCCTGCGCTGTGTAGTAGCCGGTGGCAAGGATAAAGAAAACGAAAAAAGGCTCTAATACTTCCAATTTAGTTGCGGTGTCCAGCAAAAACTCCAGCATTGTGAACAGAAAACATCACTTATTGTTTTATATGCTGCTGTACTCAGCGTTCACTTAGCAATAAGGCCTTTATAGTTGGACAGTTAATTGAACATCATCAACTCGATATATTTTTCTTACAGAAACCTGGGTAGGTAGAAATGGCAGTGTTGATCTTAATGAGGCAGGCCCCACCTAATTATTGTTCCTAGAGTTGACAAGTATTCAAACCATGTGCTGTGGAAGCTCCAAGTTCACGCAAACGAAAGATACTGAAGAGGACATGATTGGCTTAAAATTGGCCTTTTGGATAAAAGACCCCCTTAATTCAAGTACCATGGGTCAGACTGTGAATCTGAAGGAAAGCTGTGAAAATTAAGAGCAAACGGCATTCTAATGAAATTAAAGTTAAAGTGCACATGAAGGGAAACATGCATAAGAAGGGAAACAGGCTAAAAAAATAATATCCGTCCATTAAAACACAGTGTCAGAGCAAGAAGGAGATGGGAAGGAAGCCACAGAGAGGCCAACAATCACTTTAAAGGAGCTAGAGTGCAGAGTGTGCGTGTGTATGTGTGTGTGCGCTGTTGAAACAAAACATATCTCTAGTTGCTTCTCGGTTTTTGACATGATTTAAAAAATGCTCATTGTTCTATATGTTGTGTGTAAACATTATGATGAATGGACCAAAAGAACCAAAATTAATAAATAAAGTATGTTTTTGTCCTCCTCCTGTAAAGTTTCCATTTTGGAGATACAGCGTTTTGCTTCGACAGCAGAAATACACACACACACACACACACACACACACACACACACACACACACATATATACGTGTGTGTGTGTGTGTGTAGATGTGTGTGTTCCTGGAATTATCCCCACTCAAACAGACTGAATATCTGTCCAATCATACAGCACCCACCAATCTGAGAGGGTCAAGGCAAACTCTTGCTTCCATTTAATGTTCTCATACCCATGCAACCAAAAACCTGAACGTGAAGTTCTACTGAATGTTGACTGTCAGCTAAACACACTGTGCTACACCACTGACAATCTGATTATGTTTGATTAGATGCTGATGACTGTCCAGTACTATTGTACAAGAATACGGATGCACATTTTTTAAACAAACTAACTTTTAATGACCACCAGACCTTCACCATAATAGCATCCCCAGAAGAGTTTTAAGGAACTGTGCTGTCTTGTGATTTGAGCAGTAACCTGAGGAGCACATCGCCTTTGACGCATTTCTCCAGAGCTCGGCACAGCTTTCCCACCGTGCAGCCGTGAAGGCCCTCCTTCATCTTCCAGCGCTCCAGCATCTGATGGACCTTCTCAGCTAGGCCGTCGCGGGCGTAATCGTGCTCGATCGCGTCCATTTCCACCTCCGTCAGGCCCAGCTTCCTGGCACAGGCCTTCCACTTCCCACCCATGTTCTCCCGAACCAGCTCCAGATGGTCCTCAGTAACAGTGTGGTCGTCTAAATATGGTCAACACAGAGATCAGGATGAGAGAGAGGAACAGTGGCACTGCAGAATACAGGCTGGTCAGATGTATTAATAGAGATGTGCTGATACAGGTAATGTTGATTATCGGCCGACGCTGATCAATCTGATCATTTTCTTTTCACAAATAAAACAGCTGCACAATTTAGGTAAATTATGCTAGGCTGTCAAATAATAACACAGTAATCACTTCATTTTATCACTTCATTTTTAGTTTGTCCATGATGTGCCATTCTGGACTGATATGTTTTGTTTTTGAGAGAGAGAGCATGGAGGTTTACGTGCTGGCAGGCACTTCAGTAACAGTACAATTTAATCCGTTACACTCTAGGGGTCTCTACATAGGCACACACAGCAGTTCCTTACTCATAACTACAGAACTTCTTGGTGTCATAACAACTACTGAATACTTTGTAGTAGTTACTGAATAACTGCAAATAGCTACTGAATATTTTTTTTTGTAATTTCCTACTCATTTAAAATGGTTACTGAATAATTTGTTGTAGTTACTGAATGTCACGCCTGCTAGAGACTTGTCTAGTGTTACGAACTACATTTCCCAGGATAACTTGGGAGATCATGTGACGGCAGACTTCCCTATTGAATCGGAGTCCCTCGTGGACTCAACTACCCAGCAGCCAAGTGGAAACCATGTGATCAGTGACGATCTACCTATCAGCGCTCACAGTGACCCGAATTCTGAATGCTCTCACCTGTGTTTGTGTCATGTGACTAATTTAGTTTAGTATATTAGGCCGGGCTTTAGCTTAGGATCTTTGCGAGGTATTGTTTCTTTCCTGAACTTCCTGAGTGTTTTCTCTGTTTTTCTATACTCTGTTTTGACCCCTGATCTCGTTTTATTTGACTATGTTTTTGCCTGCTCCTTTTGTACCTTTGCTTGTTTCTAGGATTTGTAATTTTGACCTTTTGTCTTGCCCTCTGGACTTTGCCTGTGGTAATGATCACCTTAGTGATCATCTATCGTCTTTTGGTTTTGACCCACGCTAGTATTTCAACTACGACTCTGCCTAGTGTTAATAAAGCCTGTGTTTTCACTTTTATCCGCATGCATCTGAATTCCGCTGGCTGGTTACACTGAATAATTTATATTAGCACTGATTAATTCATAGTAGATACTGAATAATTCATAGGAGTTAGTGAATAATTATAGACATTTCTTAAAATTTACAGTACTTTCTGTATAAGTTACAGTACTTAATTACTTAAATACTATTTACTGAATATTTATAGACGTTTCTTAAAATGTATAGTATATTATGAATAAGTTATAGTACTTAATAATAATAGTAGTTATTGGATAATTCACAGCAGCTGCTAAATAATGTATAGTAGTTAATAAATAATTCAAAGTAGTTAATGAATAATTCATAGTAGACACTGAATATTTATAGATGTTTCTTAAAATTTATAGTACTTTCTGAATAAGTTATAGTACTTAATACTTATTACATAGTATTTATTGAATAATTCATAGCAGTTACTAAATAATTCAAAATAGTTCATTAATAATTCCTAGTGAACACCGAATAATTCATAATTACTTAACAATTAAAAGTAAATACTAAGTAAATTCTTACCAGTTCCTGAATTAAGTCATAGCTGTTACTGAATAATTGATGGTATTTTCTGAATAATTCACAGCTCCTATTGAATAATTCACAGCTCCTATTGAATAATTCATAGTAGTCATGGTACAATTAATAAATTACTGAATAATACATAACAGTTACTGAATAATTAATTGTAGTTGCTGAATAATGCATAGTAGGTACTGAAATGCTAAGGTAGCTAAAACAATCATTGAATTCTAATGAGAACCAGTCAGCATGACTGCAGATGCTTAATGCTAACTAGACCGCACCAGCCTGCATTAGACATTAACTACGTAAACTGCTCCTGAATCCGCCCTGAGCAGGTTTTATCCAGCATATGGTGCTAGTAAACAACTATCCTTGATGAGGATGAGGAACAGCAAAGTAATGGTAAGAAGAAATCAACACTATGTTAAAATGGCTTACCATACTTCAGCAGCAGCTCTTTATACTTGTTGCAGGCCGATGAACTGGACACAGAGCTGAGAGAGTTGCTTTCAGAACTACGAAAAGTCATCGTGTTGTTGTTCCCAATTTGGATTCCACTGGCTTGAGTGATGTACAGTGATGGGACTACAGACATAATGTTAAATAGCAGAAATTAAAAACAGCTCAGAAAACACAGAATACATTTCTGAGATATACGACACTCAAATGTTTCAAATTAATATGCAAATGTACACAATTTTCCAATAACTCCAAACCCCAAAATGGGCCATTTCTTCCAATATGTTACATTCAGCAAACAAACAGTAAATGTGCGTTAAAATGTGTTAACTTCTTTCGTTTGACCACTGGCAGCCAATTTTCATTTTTACACAGGAAGGCAAAGGTAGTGTTAGGAGTCTTGCCCAAGGACTCTTATTGGTATAGTGTAGAGTGTTTACCTAGGTGGGGATTAAACCTCAGTCTACAGGGTAGAAGGCAGAGGTGTTTATCCACTACACTATACCAACCATAAGACTGACCTGCTAGAAAATCAGTTATGTGTAAGTGAGTACCTGTTTCTGGCTGTGGGCACATCACAGGTGTGCTGACTAACCCAGCACCTGATTCCAGAGGGGTCGATTCTGACATCGGGTGATGTGTCCCCCCTGGCCATGACTGCAAGCGGTTGTACTGCGGCTGCTGATGCTTGTAGTGCTGCAGATAGGGCCCAGACATCTGACTCTCATAATCTGGCCTGGCCTGACCGTCAACATGATCCAACCCTGGGGACTGCCACCGCGGGTCCTCTGGAGCGCTCGGGCAAGGGCTTGGTTTGGTCCACGACTGGACGGAGGACACTTGCTGGGGAAGGTCTCCACACCACCTGTTATTGGCCATGGGCTGAGAGGCTGGACTGGGAGGGGTGTAGCTGTATGGGCTGAGGTCAGGTGGCTCTACGCGGCTATAACTGCCCCGCTTGTGGTAGTTGAGCTCCTGGGCTAGTTTCTGCTCCAAGTTGGCAGGGCTGAATGGAGCTGCGTCCATTTGTAGGCTCTCCGAGGGCAGGAAGCTGAGGTCCTCAATACTGGCCTCCACCGGACCAAGATCCGAACTTCGGAGAGGGGTTGGTGAGTCTGCGCAGGGGGACTGATAGGACGAGAGCTCCGGTCCTGACACACGGAAATTTAACACTGATTAACATTAATCATAACCGAATCAGGTGGATTTGAAAAGCTTTGAAGAGCCTGTATCTTTTTTAATTAAGTGTAATTTATAACACAAACAAAATGTGCTTTTACGTGCCAAAACTGATTGTACTTTATTTTTATATTTCCATTTTCCAATCTCTCTTTGTCTGTCCGAATTAAACAGGCTGTTTTTGTTACTTCAAGACTAATATATGTAAACATATATTATATGTAAACGAGTTTGAAGTAATACAGTCCATATATGGAAACTAAGCTGCAAAAACAGCCCATTTTGAAGTCATTGTTTTCTGTGATGTCACAACAACCAACCTATTTATATATAGCCTTCTATTCAGCCTACAGCAGCTCTACCCATTTACACTGAAGTTATAACGAATGTTTCAAGCTGGACTGCTTGGACAGCCAATCAGAACAGAGCTCAGTTGAAGTCTTAAGTCTGAACTGATACATTTGTCTATGTTTTGACCTGATGTCCACTCTTGACGTTTCCAGTGTAGACATCCTGGATGCTTTGTGACAATGTGACATAATATTTGAGCTTAGGGCTGGGCAATTAATTGAAAAGTAATCGAAACCGACATTCAGAACCTCTAACCGACGTAATCTTGCCCAAGTCGGTTATTTAGATTTTTTCTAAATTCTGTTAATCCTTTCCCCTCTCTGTGTGTTCATGTACTGTCCCCTTAAGAACTTACTACAGCGCGTGTAGTCACGTGACTCCGCCACGTCCAGTCTGGGACATGGAAGCTAAGGCTATGTTCACACAGCAGGTAAATGTGGCCCAAATCCGATTTTCTCACCAAATCCATTGGCTTTTTGGCTGTTCAATTCTTTTTAGCTGAAATTATGATGAATGTTGAGTTGGATTGACGTAAAAGCCGTGTGAATTCTAATCTGGCTGTTTACATTACGATTTACATTAAGATATGCAGACCATATTTACAGTACAAACCTTATCAGTGAACTATGAGGGCAAACAAAAAAAAAAAACAAAAAAAACAAAATAATTGTTCATTAATCGTAATCAAGGTAAAATATTCAATTAATCGTGATACTGATTTGAGGTCATATCGCCCAACACGATTAAAGCTCTTGCTTGTTGTTAGCACAAGACTTAAGGCCCATTCCTGTTGCTTTCACAAATGCATTAACACACAAGATTTGTCAGGATTTCACATGAAATTGGAAAGTACTAATAAAGCTGTAACTGGCCATGCGGGATTTAAAATGTCTTTGAATGTGGGTGTATTCTCTCTATGGCCATATTTGTGACAACTTTCTAAGGCCTGTCTTTGTTGCTTTTGTAAATGAGATAATGAACAAGATTTGCCTGGATTTCAACTACAGCATCAAAGAATACCTCATATGTTGGTCCAAAAACATAGTTCTTGTATGGATTATGACATTGCTTGGATGACTGGATATTATATCAAAAGCTCAAACATTTATTTTCAGTATTTATCCTCTAATTTGAAAACCTCAGCTGGGTCAAGATTTAGTGATGAATTGTCCAAAATGACTGTTACATTAACATATCTTACAGTTAACTGACCTATAATGTTACCCTTTCCAAAGAAGAGTTTTGTTACGACAGTGATAAATTAAAGCATCATTTGAGAACAAAGCTCATCTTGTAACAGAAGTCCAGAGAAAACGTGGATAACAATGAATGAACATTAGCAGTGAGCTAGCAGTTACCATAACAATGACTGTTTGTGTTTATGGACAAAGTGCGCTTTCATGTAATATTCTTGCTATTTAAGAAAGCTGAGCACCTGCGTTAGCAACTGCCGGCTCCATTGACAGGGACTTCATCTTCTCTACCAGCTCTGAGGGGCCTTCATATAAATCCTGCATAAAAATAAAAATGAATGAATAAAAATATTAAACAAATAATACTGAAAAATAATATTATGCTTTGTAATCATCTATTACAGTTTATTACAATAAAATTAAAAAGATAATTTTTCAATTTAACATTATAAATATTTTATAGTAACCACTAGTGTTTTTTTGGACATTTGAATTTAGTTTTAATATATATATATATATATATATATATATATATATACTATATATATATATATATATTCAGTTTTAATATATATATATATATATATATCATATATATATATATACACACACACACACACACACACACACACATATATATATATATACATATATATATATATATATATATATATATAGTTACTGTCCAAAGCAAAACATGTATCTCCAAAATAGTAAGTTTACAGGAGAGGGCAAAAACGTTCTTTACTTTTAATGTAAGTCAATGGGAAGAGATTTTTTCTAAGCAATTCTGGTGCATTTTTATTGGTCCATTCATCATAAAATTTTCATACTTTGTAAAGAATGGCTGCCATGCTCAAATGATGTAGAAAAGTAAAAATCACAAAAAATGGAGATACATTTCTCTGGAGTGCGACGATATGCTCATTTCAAATCTGATGTCTGCAACACATTCCAAAAAAGCTGGGACAGGAGCCTGTTTACCACTGTGTTACATTGCTTTTCTTTTTAACCACACTTAATAATTGTTTGAAGACTGAAGACACCAATTGTGTTATCAAAGCATAATTTTTGCTTCTTCCATTATCCAAGTCTTAAGATACGCAACTGTACGGGATCTTCATCGTCATATTGCGTTTCACAATGGAACACGTTTTCAGTGGGAGACAGGCAGGTCAGTCTAGCATCTGTACTCTCTGATTACACAGCCACGCTGTCATAATGTGCAGAACATGCCTTGGCATCATGTTGAAATAAGCATAAGCAGCATATGTTTTTCCAAAATGTGCATCTTTCCGCATTAAAACCTTCACAGATGTGCAAGTTACCCACTAATACCTGCTCCAATAACATGACAGATGTTGGATTTTTAACTTTATGCTGGTAACAATCTGGATGGTCCTGTTCTGCTTTGGCCCACAGAATATAACGTCTATTATTTCCACAAACAATCAGAAAGGTGGATTCGTCAGACCACAATACACGTTTCTGCATAGCATCAATTTTAGATGAGCTTGAGCCCAGAGAAGTTGCCAGCATTTCTGAATATCATTGGCTCGTTGCTTCCACTGTGCATAGTACAGTCTTGCATTTTGGGGTGCAGCAACAAACAGTGTTTATTGACAATGGTTTTTAAAATATTCCTGAATCCTTGCAGTGATATCCATCACAGAAACATGTCGTTTTTAATGCAGTGCCATCTGAAGGGATTGAAGGTCATCCAGCTGTGGTTTTGGCTTTGCTCTTTATGCACAGAGATTCTCTGGATTCCCTGAATCTTTTGATGATATGCTGTACTGCAGAGGGTGAAATACCTAAAATCTGTGCAAACACTCATCAACCTGCTTAATTATTCACTGATGCATTTTTTGGCAAAGTGGCCTCAACCCATCCTCGCTCAAACAGAACTAGGCCTTTCCTAGACGCTCCTTTTATACCCCAGCATGAATGTATCACCTGTTTCAGATGTTTTTTTTTTTTTTAATGTGTTGCCGGCATCCATTTCATAATGAGCATATATTTACAAAAAACAATGAAGCTGACATCCTGACACCTTTTGGAACTCATCATAAGGCTTATTACATAGTAACTACATGGACTACAAAGAACACTTTTTTTCTGAAGTTATATAAATGTCCAGGCCATTTAAGAGGCTAAAAACAGTCAAAACAGCTTTAAAATCATAGAAAAAAAATGTAATAATTCTCAGACAAAATGGAGCACAACTTCAGTTGCCCACAAATCTTAAATACTATCAAATGAAGCTGAAGCATTTGAGACTTTTTACAAACAGATATGCTGAATTATGACTGAAACAACTGATACCATGAGGCCATGCAAATCCCTCTCGACGTCTGCTTCAAGCTTTTTCTTGTAGAACGGCAAAAAAGACTCATAGCTTTCTGTAGTGAGAGAGAGAGAGTTTTTATGTGAGTTCATCTTATGTGAGTAGCATAATGTACAAATCAAAGACTTGCTGTTCAACAATTTCAAGTTGCCTATTCACCATGTTTTAGAACATTACTGTATAAATGACCAACTCTCTGTTAACACATCCAATACATCTTTAAACAATAAATAATTTCACAACTATTTGAGACTAACACGCTTTAATTTCCATGTTAAACTAGACAAGCTGAGTTTTCAAATGTTATGCATTTTTCTCCATAAATATTCTCTGTTTCATTTTTGCTGTCGGGTTTTTTTCTTTTCATTAAAACTGTTACTGAAAAGCTGAAAACCACAGATAATATGATGATCTGTGTTTTCTGATTCAGACATTAGTCAAAAATATATTTATACCAGTTTAGTATTAGAATATTTTTACTGCTTAAGTAAACTTAGTCACATTTGTTATGTGGTGATAGAGTGTAAATAATGTCCATTGTGGTATCCGACACTGCATTACTTCATATTTAATTTTATGCCTATAATGAAGAGCAGAACTGCAGTTGAACTGATTTTGTGGACTCTTTCCCTGATCCATCCATATATAAGATACAATTTTTGAAATTTTCAGCTCTACCACCCACACGCACCTTTAAATAGGGGTCTTTTTTGAGGGTCTTGGTCCCAGCACGCTTTCATAAGGCTGATGATCTCTGGAGGTGCATCATCAGGGATAAGGCTCTCGTCGGGGCGGTCTCCCTGACGCACACACTGACAGATCTGGTCTTCACTTCTGGCATCTGAAAAAAATATGTAGAATTAGATTAAAAAAACGGCAAGTTCAAGCCAAACAGACACGGAAACTTGTTTTTATTGTCTTTTATTGCTTTTATTGTCTTTTATTGCTTTTATTGTCTATTCTCCACTTCTGTGTAAACAGCTCCTACAGTTACATTTGTATCTTCAGCATAATTTTAAATAGAATTCTGAATCATCAAAATAATCAAATTGAATTTTATGATGCGTTAAATCATTTACTAAAGATTCTTTCGTCAAACAACTTTTGTGAGGTCAGAGAATCACTCTAATACTGATATTGTGCTGTTTTTGAAAGTTATTTTTATTCCCACTACAAATGCTCAAAAAAGCACTGTGAGGGATTTGTAAGGTACGTCCATGTCCATCCATCCATCCATCATCTAAACCGCTTATCCTTCTGGGTCGCGGTGGGGTGCTGGAGCCTATCCCAGCTGTCATTGGGCGGAAGGCAGGATACACCCTGGACAGGTCGCCAGTCTATCGCAGGGCAGACAGACAGACAGACAGACAGACATACACACTCACACCTAGGGGCAATTCAGCATGTCCAATTGGCCTGACTGCATGTTTTTGGACTGTGGGAGGAAACCGGAGTACCCGGAGGAAACCCACGCAGACACGGGGAGAACAGGCAAACTCCACACAGAAATGACCCTGGTCACCCAGCCGGGAATCGAACCCAGGCCATTCTTGCTGTGAGGCGACAGCGCTACCAACTGTGCCACCGTGCCGCCGGTACGTCCATGTGATAATCACAATTTCATTCTTTATTAAAAGATTAATTACAGTTTAGTTTTCAAGCCATATTAACTCCTTAAATTGCCAGAGCCCAACGTTTTATTACACACTTCTATAAAGTATGAAGTATCAGTATGTTAGATTATTTTAGAGTATTTTAATAATAGACTAATAGATGACAACATACTACAATCACAACTTTTTATGATGCTTTTATTTATATTTATACCACTTTTATTTATTTTAATATACTAAACACACTGTATTTTGATAAATTTATACCACTTTGTTTTTACATATGTATACTATGTTATATAATATATTTATAACACTTATATTTCTATACATTTGTTTATTTATGATACATTTATATTACATTATTTTGATTATTAATTATGATATATTTATACTATGTTATTTTGATATATTTATCTGTTACCGACACTTGTACTCAAGTACTTCGACTTTTTGAGGTGCCAGTATTCAAATACTGAAATCACTATTTGTTACATTTCTTCACGTGAAAGTTTTGCTCATATTTGTGAGTCTGAAACCTGAGTGGCTGAACGTGAGGGCGCTGCCAAAGGACGTGATTTGGAAGGCAGAGATAGAGCAGCTTTTGGTGCTAAATAGGCTGTGCTGATGATAGCTAGGTTCAGATAGTCTACCAGCTTCCAGGACTGCACCAGCAAACTGTAGTTTTAGCTCGTTGGCTCATCCGAGGCAGTCTCCGTTATGTTACTCACCCAAAACACACAAAAAAAATCCATCCTCAGCTGTTTTTTAATAATAAAACATTCTAAAACGTCTTCCTCTGTGTGAAGCTGATTTTTGAGCAACACCGGTGCTGTCACCTAAAAAGTTAAGCCACAGCTCTATTTTCATTTCAGCCAGAATGCTTTGTTGAGAATAAAATTACATCCCTAACATTTATTCTACATTATATGGATTATATTTGTACCACTTTATTTTTTTATGTTTTTACCCCCAAACTCAGTTTAACTGTTAAACCAGCGGTAATTTTCCACACGCTACCTGAAAAGGAGGATTCTGCTACCGGCACAGGTCGAGTAGGAAGTGTGTAAAACATACATGAACATCTACACTGTGCTGTACTACTCAGAGAGCCATGTGTGATCACTCACTCTCATACGGCTCTTGACCGGTCAGGACGACCCAGACGACAATGGCGAAGCTGTAGACGTCGGACTTTTCGGTGGAGCGGGTGTGAATGCTCTGCAGATGCTCTGGAGCCATGTAGCAGAGCGTTCCAGCCGTGCGCACCGACGTCTTCCTGCCCACACCCTTACGACTCTGCCTGCGAAACTCGTCTCTGGTCAGTTTGCTCCACGTCTGATGAGTGGCCAGTCCCAGGTCCGCAATCTGGCCCAAAACACAGACACATACTAAACCCTCCACACTCTTCAAATGCGCTGTGATTAGAAATAGAGAAGTAAAAATGCACCAACACCCAGATCTGAGAGTAAAGATTCGACTGCACTGACTTCAGAACGTTATCCTTTACATTTAAATACGATAATATTTAGTTATGTAGGTGCTCAGTTTAGGGCTATTGGGCTACTGTGAAACTGGACAATTAAAAAACCTTAACGTGTTGTTTTTGATTGTCTATATTCCACTGTGTACATAGTTTCTTCAGTGATGTTCCTGTATTCAGTGTATTTTTTTAAAGTAATTCTGAAATGTACAAATTTTTTATGATGCACTGAATTGTTTCCTAAAGAACTGTAATGTAAGATGTTGTAGACTGTAGATGTTCAATGCTTCAGTGTTGGGGAAGTCATAGATTTAGCAGAAGGAAAGTGTTGCTATGCTATAATAAATAATATTTAACCCCTAAATAATTTTACACCCCTACTTGGTAAGAAATGTTTCAACCTAATTCATTTATGTGTTTTATAGAAAACAAATGCTAATGTTTCTCTGTGCTGCGTGTATAAAGTGTTTATTGCTTATGTAATATGTATCGTTTATGTAAGTGAAAAAACTTTCACTTCCTCTCCCAGTTTCTCTCTTTCAGTGAGAATCTGTGATTTTTAGTCAGGTTAGGTTTCTAAAGCACCATTCACTGCGTAAAGTACATCAGATTAGGTCTGATTAGGTCTGGAAAAATTGTTATTGTAAATATTTTGGTTTTACTACAGTAAAAAGTATGGTAAATACTTTGGTTATACTATGGTAAAAAAGTAGGGAAAATACTTTAGTACTTACTACGGCACAAAAAGTATAGTAAACACTTTCATTGTATGGTAGGGATGGCAGAATGTAGCCTTGTGAAGCTCTGAGGCTTCAGGAAATGCCTCTAAGTCTCGGAGTATGACATGTTGTGGTTCACATATATTATAGCAAGCACAAGATCATTGGTTAAGTTGCTTTGGATAAATCACCAACACAAATCATTAATGCAGGCTTGCTGTTCGCAATACAAATCTGACAAAACTGTTTTAAATAAATTTCATTTAAAATCAAAATCAAAGTGTGACAATAAATGAAACCTGAATGAGTCAATATTCTTATCATGGTGATGAAATAGCATTTAACTGTTTTGTGATTTGCCGTGACAGTCTCAGCCACAACTGACTGGTACAGTATAACAAAATGTGACAATCAATTGATCAATGTACAGTGCATTTGCCTTATTTTTATTTATTTATGGGTAATCAACGTATTTTCCATATTTTTATTTTTCATTCTTTCGCAGTGTGGTATTAACGTCCCAGGAACACAGTTTATGATACTAAATATGTTTGTATAATACTAAAATGAAGTGTTATATTAAACATCCAACAGTGTAAAGAATTACAGAATATAATAAAATACAGAACTATATAACATGGCCTAAAAAACTGCTTATCTATCTGAGAACTTTTTGAAAAGTGCACATGACTAACAGGCCTCAGTCTAAAACTGCCAGCCTGTAACATCACTGAAGCAGAGATAAGCACAAGAACACGAGTGAGGAACTAAGTGAAACGGGCCCTGCACTTCATATGCCAGCGTCTTAAGAAGGTATGATTCTTATTATTGTATCATGTTTCTTGAATTTGAAAACATATACAATTAGAAAGAAGCCAATTTACTAATCACAAATCCTACTTTATTATCTGATTTTCATACATTTTTATAGTTTGAGAATTCTGTCACATGCTTACCACAAAAGCACATGCAGAGACAGTGTTGTCACAAATGTGTCACTGTTTTAACACAGTCAAGATAAAATCCAGTGATTTTTAAATTAGATTAAGTGACCCTTATCAGTCTCACAACGGGGAAATTTCACCTCGGCAATCTAACCCATCTGTGCAGTGAAACACCACATACGCCCTAGTGAACACACACACTAGGGGGCAGTGAGCACACTTGCCCGGAGTGGTGAGCAGCCCTATCCACAGCGCCCGGGGAGCAGTTAGGGATTAGGTGCCTTGCTCAAGGGCAGGAGGGATTGAACCGGCGACCTTCTGGTCATAAGGCTGGTCCCCTAACCTCCGGCCCATGACTGCCCCAAAGCAAAATATTCAGAAATAAAGGAAAGAAAAACCTGCCCATCCATAAAAACTGATACAGATTACATTTCAGACATTACTATACCTTTATATGGAAATGCTCGTCAACTAAGATGTTCTCCGGCTTCAGATCCTTGTGAATGATCTGGTTGTCTGTTAGATAAGCCATTCCCTCCAGGATCTCCAGAATTATCCTTCCTTTGATGGATATTGGAACAGGGACCTAACAATAATAAAAAGAGCAGTCCTAAATTGCAGGAATGGGGGAACAGAGAAAGCTGCTTTGGCATAAGAGTGGAGAGGACATACTCTATTATTAGCCACAGCCATTAAAGAGCAACATACAAACCCAACTCCAGAAAAGTTGAGACAGTGGGTAAACATACAAACAAAAACAGTAAACTGTCTTTTACAGGTATTTAACTGAAGAGCTGTGGGCCGATTCAGAAGTACTGCAGGAAAGCACGACGTTGTGCAATACTGTGTCTCTCCTGCACTGAAGAGCAGCTGGAAACCCCTGACATTTAGCTATACAGAAGTGTGGTGCTCTCACCCTTTCCAGCATGGCCAGCAGGTTTCCCTTAGGGATGAGCTCCATCACTAGAGAGTAATCTCCATCCTCCAAGATGACCCCCAGCAGTTTGACCACACGTTCATGGTTTAGACGGCTCATCAGACTGCCCTCCTCCAGCAGAGACTGCTTCTGCCTTCACACATATAAAACAGCACTTCGTTAAATGTGTAATGTTTCATATATGCAGGTTATTTCCTACTTATGTTAGCTTAATTATTACATGTACAAAGCCACTGGCTTGTATCCCCTTAGCAACAGCTTGACAACACCTTAGCAAACCACCTGGGATAGCATAGCAACAGCCTAACAACACTGTAGTAACCACCTGGGATACCACAGCAACAGCCCGGCAGAACCTTAGGAACTAGATGGGATTCAATCGCAATGGCCTAGAAACATCTTAGCAACCACCTGGGATAACATAGTAACACCTTAGCAACCACCTGGAATAACTTAGTAACACTTTAGCAATCAACTTAAAGTTTGCTCATGAACCTTCCCCTTTTAGTTGACTATATTATTAGTTATTTAATTATATAGTTACATAAATACATATGAAATGTCAACTGAATGCATATAACATATCTAAGGGATGACTTGGTTAATTTAGTAATATCTATAATATTGTCTGAAGTGTATATTAATACACTTTACATTAATATATTACACTTAATGCAGTACACAATGCAAAAAAATGAACCTCGATCAATAAACAGCACAAAACCATCAATCAACCTGCTTATCTGTCATAGTGACCAAGTGACTATATACACACACTATGCATACAAAAGTTTGCTTATACAGCGTTTCTTCAAAAATCAAGGGAATTAACAGAGAGTTTGTTCTTCTTTGCTGCAGTAACAGCCTCTTCTCTTCTGGGAAGGCTTTACACTAGATGTTGGAACATTGCTGTGAGGATTTGATTGCATTCAGCCAGAAGAGCATCGGTGAGGTCGAGTACGGATGTCGGATGATGAGTTCTGGATCACTCCAAAAGTATTGGATGGAGCTCCATCACCAGCTGCTCCACAGCGCCCCATTCTATTGGTCAGTGCTTTTCTACGGGGATTATGCGAGCAATGTGCAATGGAATGCTTACGTCAGTGATGGGTGCAACTTTAATGTTTATTAATTAGAAGGTACGTTCAAGCCTTGCTGTCTTGTGGAATCCAATACTTCGTACAGTCATATGCAAAAGTTTGGGCATCCCAGCCAAATAACATGTTTTTGTTGATTTTCTAAGTGAAAAAATAGTGAACACATCCTCTACAAAGAACACATTTCTGCACATTTTAATATACAATTACTATTTATTTGCTGAATTTGTGAAAAAGTTATTATATATATATATATATATATATATATATATATATATATATATATATATATATATATATATATACGATTTTCTTTTTTGAAGAAGAAGAAGGTTCCTGTTGCCTTTTTGGACATTTTGTTCTGAAAGTGACGATATAAACACTGTTTACATTTCAAATTGTGAATGACTGTTTTTGTGATGTCACGGAAAACAAACGATTTACGTATATCAGTGTATTCAGCTTACTGTAGTTTAGTCCTGCCCATTCACACTGAAGTCATAAGGAATGTTTCCACAAAGACTGTTTTTTTGAATGAGGCACAATAGAGGGCACAAAGACAGGCTGGGGACAAAGAGAGGCTGGAAATGGTCATGGAAAAATGAATTATGACTGATAACTCATCAGCTACACAAATACTGTAAGTGGACCTCAAGGAAAAAGATAAGAGGAAAGACAAACAGAAGATATGGGCTCTTTAAACCTTTGCATACGACTTTAAAACAATGCACCAAATTGTGTGGAAGAGCAGGACCACTGAAAGCTGGACATTCCTGGGTCTGCAGAGCTTTGCTGGAAACCCCTGAGTGCATCATGTCTGACATTTTAATGAAAACAATTCTGAGAGAACGAGGCCCTGTGACGCTGATCACGTAATATTTGACGTTCTGCTGTTGCGTCCTTTGCTGATGTTTTGTTCCCCTATCACATGAATGACCCAGATGCAGTGCTATTATCTGTTTGAGGAACAGTGAAAACCCACAGCAGCCGAGCTTTTACAGCGCGTGAAAGAAAAACAGGGAAGCGCAGATGCACACAAAAGCACAGGCAGAGCAGAACTCTTAAAGCTGCTGACTGCTGTAAAAAACAATTTCACAAGACGTTTGTGTCGACCATGAAAACAAGACGGAGCATCAACTTCACACTGTAGAAACACTCAGGATACAGAAATTATCAGCTTAAAGCAGCCAGGCTTATTCCCAGCATTGTTATCAGTAAAGTAACCGTCATGTGTGAAAACGACTGACTTCACACGCAGATGCTTTCCTGTTTGGTGAGTGTGATCAGAGTGTATATGAGAAAAACAAATAAGGTGCACATCGAAGGATAACAGTGATGAATAGCGCCCGGACAATAATGCACATTAATACGAGTGATAATCGTCTGCAGCATTATCGCAATAAACAACCACCACATGTGAACATTACAGAATCTTTACCCCATAGCTTCTCCATTATGATACTGTATGAACTGTTCTACCAATTCAGTTTAAACACCATGTGTCAAACACAAGGCCCGCAGGCCAGTTCAGGCCCTCGACACGGTCCTATCCGGCCCGCAGAAGTATTTTAATTTTCTATTAATATTAGCCTGATTTACAATGCGCTGCACTACAGTCCCTATGGAAGGCAAATCCAGCCAAAAAAAAAATTTAAATTAAAACAATAAAATGTAAATGCAAACCTCTTTTTGCCATTTCTTTCTCCAAACATCTGCGCAAATATCTCGCCAAAATTGAGAATGAAATGAAATGCCTACATTTGCAATTTCATTTTTCACATGAGCACGGGCCATTTGTGACAAAAATAAAAATAAATGTAAAAACAGCTGTTTGTCATTTCATTTCAGTCATTATTCTGGTTTTTCATGGCCAAATCTAAAATGAAAAAGCTAACAGAGAAAAGAAAATCCAAGCTTCACTTTGGCTTTTCTTCATGAAATGCAGAATACATGTCAAAACTAAAATCAAAATGCAGTGTTTATGTTCTTATTTCTTTTTCATAGCAATCGGCTGCGGCTACGGGGTACATTTTAGGACATTCTTAGACCTCCGAGTCAGAATGGTGTCATTCCTCAAGCTAAACGACTTCGAGTCTCGAGAAAAGCCATCGTCATGACTCAGATCTGGTGAAACTGAACGTCAGAACAAACACTGTCAGACCAAACAGCCTCAGAATAAACTGGAAATGTTATACTGGCGTTTATATCGAGATACACAATAGTTTTCTAAGTTATATGAACTCCACCAGGCTTGCGTTTGGTCTGACAGTGTTTGTTCTGACGTTCAGTTTCACCAGATCTGAGTCATGACGATGGCTTTTCTCGAGACTCGAAGTCGTTTAGCTTGAGGAATGACACCATTCTGACTCGGAGGTCTAAGAATGTCCTAAAATGTACCCCGTAGCCGCAGCCGATTGCTATGAAAAAGAAATAAGAACATAAACACTGCATTTTGATTTTAGTTTTGACATGTATTCTGCATTTCATGAAGAAAAGCCAAAGTGAAGCTTGGATTTTCTTTTCTCTATTAGCTTTTTCATTTTAGATTTGGCCATGAAAAACCAGAATAACGACTGAAATGAAATGACAAACAGCTGTTTTACATTTATTTTTATTTTTTGTCACAAATGGCCCGTGCTCATGTGAAAAATGAAATTGCAAATGTAGGCATTTCATTTCATTTTCAATTGTGGCAGGATATTTGCGAAGATGTCTGGAAAAAGAAATGGCAAAAAGAGGTTTGCATTTTCATTTTATTGTTTTAATTTTAATTTCTTTTTTGGCTGGATTTGCCTCCCATACAGTCCCCAGCATGCTGATGGAAAAGACTGAATATAATATTGGCTGATTAGAGAGCTTGGAGCCCTCCTAAAAAAGGTAATACAGGGAAGCAGACTATGGACTGTATGCAGTAGACTCTCTAATGGGGGAAGAGCTTCTGGGCTCACAGAAGGGAGCTGTACCAGATGACAGTCTAAGTTATAGCTGAGGTTCACTCTTGTACGTATATGGAGGGTTGTGTAAGATGGCCCTATGGAGAGTTGCGCAAGAGGGCCCTGTAAGGGCACAACAGTCTGGTAAGAGTCAGACCAGAGTGGGTTTAACACAACAGCGCAGACCTTTTCCTTCCTTCCACAAGAACTCAGCAGCTGAAGTCTTTTCTTTTTATGCTTTTTCATTTTTGTTGACATTCTTTGATTCTTTTCATTTTTCTTGAAGATAATATTAGAGTTACTTACAAATATCACCAAACACACGAGCTGCATTTAAGTTGCAGTTCAACCAATATAAACACTATACTGTGTTTGTAATATAAACTGTCAGCAGCTCAGAAACTGAGCCCAAGTATTAATGAACTTGCAGTAAAGAAAGGATGCCAGGTGTCTAGTTCAAGCAATCAGGCAGGTTTAAAAGACTGAGCTCCTGGGGACATTTCCATTTTGAATATTTCATGTAATATTTCAAGGTCTACTGCAAGCGCCTATATTTTATTGTTGAAGTTTTTTCCAAATTTGAATAAACAATGGCCAGTTCAGGTTCTAGCACAACACTATTTAAAATTGAAATAAAACATTTTTTTTCCTTGACCTACAGATTTGTTGAGATTTTCTAATATGGTCCTTTTACTTGTTGAGTTTGACACCCCAACAATTAATATTCCGGCTCGAGCGATATCTAAAAATGTACAATTCAGTGCAGTCTTTTCTACTGTATATCTTTTACCTAGCCATAGATTAGAATTATTTTACAAGGAGAACAGCTAAATAAAGACTAATCAATAAAAAAAAAAAATCATGTCACGTAAAAGAGAACAAATGTACAATAATTTGCAATTTCAGTCAAAGGCTTTAAGTCAGTTTTGTTGGTTTAACACATCCTCTATAGGGAGCAAATGTAAATATTATATTTTTCTGCAAATTATACAGCATGATTTCTATTTATTTGATGAATTTATTTGATTTGAATTTTGGAAAAAAAATAAAACTTAACATATTAAATGTGCCATCATTTTTGCGTGTTTTATTTTTTCCAATATGTTAAATATAAGCAAATAAACAGCAACTGTGCATTAAAATGTGCAGAAGTGTGTTCTCTGTAGAGGATGTGCTCATTTATTTTCACTTAGAAAACCATCAAAACATGTAACTTGACTAGTGACGGGGAGTCGATCACAAAAGTGAAAACTCCAACACGGCTGGGAGTCGGGGTCGACCCCTGGCCAATGATTCTCAGAGTCAAAACGCATGGAGTCCATGTTTTTTCACTGTAATTGGCTCAACAGACATTTTGACAGAAAAATGTGTTGAGTTTGAGTGGCGCAAGTTTACCAGCTTTACCATGTGCCAACGCTGCTAACCAGCCGCTGCCAAAACCGTTTTTGATACGTCTGCCTCTACAGCGCACTGCTCTGCACCCTGACTCTACTATGGAAAGCCAAACTCTTCATTTACTCTTCACGGTTCCTTCATCATATATTTAAAATAGTACATAAAATGAAAAGCAACAGTGACCAATACTTTTCACAGAACACTGTGGGAAAGGGCACGAAGCTGAAGTTGGCTTCTTTTTGGCAGCTTTTGATTCAATTTTTTCGTTCCACCTTAAAAAGGGCTGCAGATACATTCTTCATCAGTGCAAGGTAACTGCTGGATCATTTAAGGTGGAACGGAAACTTTGAATAAGAAACTGGCAAATAAGCCAAACTAAGCTCTGTGAAAAGAGAAACGAGATAACTGCTCCAGAACAAAAACTTTCATTTAAATCTGGCTAATAACGGTTTATTTTTACAGAAGTTATGATTACAGTAATGATTTCCACAGTGCATCATTTGTGCTTCAGCAGCTTAAGCAGCCTCATTCTGTGAAATATGTGAAATTACATGAAATCTAATGGTAAGATGTGTTGAAACATCAATCAGCTGTAATCATTTGTCAAGTTACCTGATATTTCTTGGTATAATCTATGAATTTTCACCACATCACTATAAAAGCTACACACAAAAAATAAGTAAACTTTGTTAAGGATGGTTTAAAATATGCTCTGGCACTGTTATGGTTAAAATTAAGGGAAGCAGAGGAGTTGCGCATCACTAATTTGTCCAGGACCCCCAAACTTTTGCATACAACTGTATTTGAATGACTGCGATATTGGATAATATCAAGGGTAGTGATAATGCCTACTGCATATTGCAAAAATACAGCAACGTGTCCATTTTTTCATTGTTTATGGTTTAATAATATCTCTGCTGTCGGAACAAAACCTTTTATTTCCAAACAAGGAGAAAGAAAATGTTCTTAACCTTTCATGGGAGTAAACAGAGAAACATTTTTTTTAAAGTAATTTTGGACCATTTTTGTTTCTCCATTCATCATGAAATTTTGACAGAACATAAAGGGCAGCTGCCTTTTTCAAATGATGTCAAAAAATGAAAAATGACTAAAACGGAGATACGAGGTTTTGCTATATTTCTTTATTGCTGGCTCTCGCACTGTCTCGGTTAAAATTAAGGCAAGTCGAGGACTCGTGCGTCACTAAACTTGACCAAGGAGGCCAAACTTTTGCGAACAACTGTACTTAAATGACCTCAATATTCAATAATACAAAGGATAGCGATAATCCTGGCTGTAGTATTGCAAAAATACTCTATATGACAACACGTCTATTTTCTCATTGTACATAAGTAAAATTGAGTTGAACTGAATTAACTGTATTTTTCCCTGAGGGGAAATGTGTGTGTGATGTCTGTGTGTCTGCCCTGTGATGGACTGGTGACCTGTCCAGGGCGTTCCCTGCCTTCAGCCCAATAAGCACTGGGATAGGCTCCAGCAAGGATAAGCGGCTTTGATAATGTGTGTGTGTGTCCCTGAGGAGCAGCGCTTAACAAACATCAACCAGACTGTCACAGCTGCCACATCCCTCAAGAACTACAACACCCATAATCCTCACCTGCAAACCTCTCCAACCTCATCTTCTAATTACCTACACCTGACTGACTCACCACTGCATGTACGTAAAGCCTCTATTCTCTTTGTTTCTTGCCGAAGAATGGGTTTGTTGTTTTGATCTTAGTGTTCGCTCGGCCTCCTCTGTAATGTATACTTTGCCTATTCTGCAATAAGAACTCAGCCCGTCCTAATACTCACTCGTTCCGAGGCGGTCCCGTGTACACGGTCTTCAGCACCACCTGGCCCAGGGTTATGTGATAGCACAGGTAAACTTCCCCAAAGCCTCCATAATCCAGCCGCTCCTTTCTGATCAGGTCCGACGACTTCATGATGTCCAAGCTCGGTGCTGTGGCCATGCTTTCACTGCTTAAAGAACAGGCGTGGGTATTTAATCAGCCATACATGAGTACAGTTTTAATGGACGTACACTTTCCTGAGCAAGTTCAAATGATAATACTGTCACTTTCACTTAATTGTGTTTGTGAGTAAAGCAATGTCCTTTTTACTTACTTACTACAGGGGAATTCCACCCACTTTTTCAAAATTTCAGCATTATTCAACCATTAAGATGCAAACTAAGTCAATCACCGTGGTCTGATGCGAAACTGTTTATTGCAGAGAAACTTGCCGACTCAGATTTCTTTACAGAACCAGGAGTCGCAATGCCTGCAACACAAATATAGCCATTCTATTACACCAGTGAACATTCATGTGTCTTCTTTAAACAGTTATTATATATATGTAATGTTAATGATGGTGTTAAATCTGAAAAAGTATGTTGTCTTTAGGGACTATTTAGCCTGACAACACCCTGCATGTGTCTCTCCACCATGAATGGACTGTCAAAAATGCATCTTCCTATGACCACCACTGTGAACAATTCTGACTCTTCCTGTGGAAAGGAGCGTTTCCCATCAAACCACTCCAAACAACTTTGTTTACAACTCAACAACTGAATTTTATTATTTAAAAAGTGCTAAATAAAAAGAGTTATTCATTCCCTTTGTGCTTCATTTCATTCCCTTGAATGACAGCATCCAGTTGAATTATCAACCGTTAAAAAGACTCTTAACACTCAAGCTGTTATTAAAAAGGCCCTTTCACCTCGTGTGAGGACTGAAGCGATGTCCATCGAGGAAGTGGCAGCTACACCAAGGGCTAGCAACACCACGACCGACAACATCTTCAGAAAGCACTTTGAGGAGCTCCTGACATCAATGACACGAACAGAGGTCTACTAAAAACATCTACTGCTCCACAAATATCTACAGTAACCTGGGAAGAAGGCAAACAACCCTGCGAGGAGGCTCAAAATCACGCTGTAGGTCTGCTGAGGTCGGCTTCCTATTCGCCTGCTTCTTGTTGGAATTTCTCCGTTCCACCTTAAATGGTGCTGCAGTTACATTGAAGTAACTGCAGCACCATTTAAGGTGGAACGGAGAAATTCGAACAACAAGTCTGCGAATAGGAAGCCGACCTGCTCCGTTCGAATCTATAAAGTCTAATATGAACCCAAAAAGGCGTTTTCTAACCAAAAACGGGTATAAAAAGCCCAAAATCCGGCTACTTACCTACTTCACATTGTACTCTCAGTTCCCGAGGAAGGACTTGTTTTCCGGTATCGCAAGTGAAAGTAGAAAAACGTTCCGAGCAGACCGACCAAATCAACACCAGAGCACAGGATCAATGTGAAGAAGAGCGAGTCCAATCACAGCTCCTCCTGAACCCTCAGCGTCCGAAGTCCAGCGACTCACCCCGGTCAGTGTGAGATGGATGGACAGGAGCTCTTCTCGGTGTAGCTCTGCCAGGCTGAGTGTGAGTGACTGTGATTGTGAGTGGGAGTGAGTTTAATTGTCTTGTCCTCTTGTTTCGCTTCGTGAGGTCAGGGGTTTTCTCACTTCCAACATGAGACTGAGAGCAGAAAACAAATTAAATACACCCTTTAATAATACTGAACAATACAATGTATAATGGACTAGAGGATGACCAACACAAACTGTGCAGCAGCAGATGAGCTACTGTCTCTGACTTTACATCTACAAGGTGGACTGACAAGGTAGGAGTGTCTAATAGAGTGGACAGTGAGTGGACACAGTGTTTAAAAACTCCAGCAGCACTGCTGTGTCTGATCCACTCGTACCAGCGCAACACGCGCTAACACACCACCACGTCAGTCTTACTGCAGTGCTGAGAATGATCCACCACCCAAATAATACCTGTTCTTTGAGGGTCCATGGGGGTCCTGATCACTGAAGAAGAGGGTAAAAGGGGGCTAACAAAGTATGCAGAGAAACAGATGGACTACAGTCTGTAACTGTAGAACTACAAAGTGCACCTATATAGTAAGTGGAGCTGATAAAATGGACAATGAGCGTAGAAACAAGGAGGTGGTCACAATGTTATATATATATATATGCCATTTTTTTTTCCAGTGTCCATTATTCCTCCCAGCCTCCAGCAGTACCCATGGCTTTCACAGGAATTATAGGTGCACACACACACACACACCATATTCAATTCAATTATTTTTCTAATAATGATAATAATAAAAGAACTATATACATATGTAGTCTTGAGTGATTTACAGATTAGGTGTTTACAGTGTGTATTTAGTTGCAAGTGTACAGTATGTTGAGGTAAACCAGGTCTGGTGTGCAAATTATAGTATATAGTATATAGTATAAGTGCTTGTAAACAGCATCACAGATGCTATATTCACAAAGTGTACAGTGCAGGAAAATAAGCATTAGCAGCTTAGAGTTCAAGTAAGTGTGCGTACGACTTAAATGTTCAAGTGCAGTGAGTTCTGGTTAAAGTGCAATGTGCGTACAGTCCAGTGCTCACATGATGATATGACACGATTCCGTATGATTGGTCGTCATTTACTTTCTGTGTCCACAGCGGACGTTTTATTTAACAGTTTTCAGATTGTTTTCATTCTCCGTAATATTTATTAAAATTATTATTAAGGGGTTAATACTGCTGCTAATAGTGTGCACTTATACTGCCGTTGTTATTAGACTATATTACTTTTGTTTTTACTAGGCCTATTATTAATATACTTAGTACTTTAATGAAAACATCAGGAATATGAATCAGTTTATAATTTAAATAAATGCAGAAACAAACAAACAAATAAATAAATAATAAGAATGTGCCCCTTACTCTGGCTTTGTTTCAGTTCTGTATGAGTGTAAAACTCTACAAAACCTCTAGTTGTGGTTTTTTGCATTCTGGCACAAGAGCGATGAGTCTCTGTAATGTCATGTGAGGCATGCTGTTACGTAATCGCGACACTCCTTAAAAGGAAAACTTCTGAGTAGCTCATACACTCTAACTCTAACTCAGCCTTTCAATTCTGTACTGTACACTTCATCTACCAGCCACTCAGCTCACTTACATGTTCTAGTTCCAAATAGAAATATATGGAAAAAATAAATAGGTTAATAATCAATGAATTTATTGGATTGAAATGATTGAATAAATAAATAAATTAATAAATAAATAATATGGGCTCTGTAGATTTTGATCATGTTCATGCTTCTTTAGAGTGATTTTTCTTTACTGTGGCTTTGGTTCAGTTCTGTACAAGTGTAAAACTCTATAAAACCTCTAGTTGTGGTTTTTGAGTTTTTTTGCATTCTGGCACAAGAGCGTCGAGTCTCTGTAACGTCATGTGAGGCATCCTGTTACATAATCGCGACACTCCTTAAAAGAAAAACTCTTGGAGGGTAACTTCTTGAGTAGCTCACGCCCTCTAGGTTTATAGGTGGATGAATGAACTGTATCATCGATCTTCATTGGGTATTGGCCCCATCATGCTGTACTCTGTGTGAGGTTGAGCTCCTCTTTAGATGAATAAACTCTGTTTGGCTGAATCTCGCACTGATAAGACTCTTTGTAACTGGATGTGCTTTCATGGCAGACTTACAGATTAGAGAGCTGCAAAACAACAGCAGTGAAGTTTTCATTAAATTCCAGAGTGACTATGATGATCAAATCTCCAGGTAGATGACTTCTTTATATTATATCATTTCGATGCCATTTATTTATTAACATATATTGTTTAATATTGTAAATAGAGGAGTAGAGGTTTATTTTAAGCACCCATTCAAAACCTTAAATATGGAATAAAACATATTAAAATACCTTCTGGCAAGTAGTTTATGACATTTAATCTGCATTGTATCAAAACTATTGTATATTAATACACTGATTAACATGACAAGTGAATCTGAACTTTTAAATGATAGTGTAACTACCAGCAATGGAAACTCATAGCATGACAAACAAACTTACTATTTTTTGTTTTATTATTTGGTTTTATTTATTTATTTATGAACCATTTTTGTGGGTCAAAGTCTTTTTAAACACCTCAGTGTCACTGCTGGACTGAAAATAGTCCAACAACCAAAAATATCCAGCCAACAGCGTCCTGTGGGCAGCTGTAATAGAGTGGACAGTGAGTGGAGTGTTTAAAAACTCCAGCAGCACTGCTGTGTCTGATCCACTCAGACCAGCACAACACACGCTAACACACCACCACCACGTCAGTGTTACTGCAGTGCTGAGAATGATCCACCACCCAAGTAGTACCTGCTCTGTGTGGGCCCATGGGGGTCCTGACCACTGAAGAACAGGGTAAAAGGGGGCTAACAAAGTATGCAGAGAAACAGATGGACTACAGTCTGTAACTGTAGAACTACAAAGTGCACCTATATAGTAAGTGGAGCTGATAAAATGGACAATGAGCATAGAAACAAGGGGGTGGTCATAATGGTATGCCTGATTTGTGTATATACACATATATTAGCAACTACCTGGGATGCCAAAGCAATGGCCAAGCGACACCTTAGCAACCACCTGGGATACCATAGCAATGGCCTAGAAGCATCTTAGCAACCACCTTGGAAAACTTAGCAACACCTTATAAACCTCCTGGGATTTCATAGCAACGGCTTTGTTAAGCCAACTTTAAGTTTATTGACAAACTTTCCCTTCTGTTCTATTCCATTTAGTTTAATTGAAGTTCTTCTACATTGAAAATGAAATATTTCATGTATTATCTAAAATAGAGTTTTTTATTCTGGACCTAAATTAGTGACTAAAGTAATAATTATGAGATACTGTACTTTTATTGGTATGTAAAGTAGACTAGGTCGCCAGCTGAATCCCAAATTACTCCCTACTCCCTATGTAGTGCACTGTGTGAGTTATAACATGCACTGTTTGGGAGCAGGAGCCATGATTTTTAGACCTATGAAGTTCACTATGTACACTGTTAGAAATAAAGGTTCTGTTTTGTTCATCAAGATACAAACAATGTAAATGTTCCCTCAAAGGTACAACAGTGGTTTTAAGGTCCAACTGTGTAAGTTTTTCCAGGTGAAAAGTTCGTATTTGCACCTTTTCATAACCGAATGTTTTAAAACAGAACAGTAAAATAAAAGCCTGGAGACGAGACGGGGTGTGTGGAGTCAGTACAACTTAGACAATATAACTTCAATGGATTATGGTACAGTTATGTTCCCTGACTAAAGGAGTTCAAACATTGCATATTACTACATATTACATACAGTGGTGTGAAAAAGTGTTTACCCCCTTCCTGACTTCTTATTCTTTTGCATGTTTGTCACACTTAAATGTTTCAGATCACCAAACAAATTTAAATATTAGACAAAGATAACACAAGTAAACACAAAATGCAGTTTATAAATGAAGGTCTTTATTATTAAGGGAAAAAAAATCCAAACCTACAGGGCCCTGTGTGAAAAAGTGATTGCCCCCTAAACCTAATAACTGGTTGGGCCACCCGTAGCAGCAACAACTGCAATCAAGCGTTTGCGTTAACTGGCAATGAGTCTTTTACAGCACTGTGGAGGAGTTTCGGCCCACTCATCTTCGCAGAATTGTTGTAATTCAGCCACATTGGAGGGCTTACGAGCATGAACCGCCTTTTTAAGGTCATGCCACAGCATCTCAATCAGTTTCAGGTCAGGACTTTAACTAGGCCACTCCAAAGTCTTAATTTTGTTTTTCTTAAGCCATTCAGAGGTGGAATTGCTGGTGTGATTTGGATCATTGTCCTGCTGCAGAACCCAAGTGCGCTTCAGCTTGAGGTCACGAACATAATGGCCGGATATTCTCCTTCAGGATTTTTTGGTAGACAGTAGAATTCATGGTTCCATTTACCACAGCAAGTCTTCCAGGTCCTGAAGCAGCAAAACAGCCCCAGACCATCACACTACCACCACCATATTTTACTGTTGGTATGATGTTCCTTTTCTGTGTTACTTCTACGCCAGATGTAACGGGACATACACCTTCCAAAAAATTCAACTTTTGTCTCGTCAGTCCACAGAGTATTCTCCCAAAAGTCTTGGGGATCATCAAGATGTTTTCTGGCAAAACTGAGACGAGCCTTTATGTTCTTTTTGCTCAGCAGTGGTTTTTGTCTTGGAACTCTGCCATGCGGGCCATTTTTGTCCAGTCTCTTTCTTATGGTGGAGTCATGAACACTGACCTTAACTGAGGCAAGTGAGGCCTGCAGTTCTTTGGATGTTGTTGTGGGGTCTTTTGTGACCTCTTGGATGAGTCGTTGCTGTGCTCTTGGGGTAATTTTGGTCGTCCGGCCACTCCTGGGAAGCTTCACCACTGTTCCGTTTGTGGATAATGGCTCTCACTGTGGTTCACTGGAGTCCCAAAGCTTTAGAAATGGCTTTATAACCTTTTCCAGACTGATAGATCTCAATTACTTTGTTTCTCATTTGTTCCTGAATGTCACTGGATCGCAGCATGATGTGTAGCTTTTGAGGATCTTTTGCTCTACTTCACTTTGTCAGGCAGGTCCTATTTAAGTGATTGCTTGATTGAAATCACTTTTTCATACAGGGCCCTGTAGGCTTGGATTTCGTTTTCCCTTAATAATAAAGACCTTCATTTATAAACTGCATTTTGTGTTTACTTGTGTTATCTTTGTCTAATATTTAAATTTGTTTGGTGATCTGAAACAT